TTTTTTTTGTGGAATGGGTTAAGTTTGGTGTCTCCCTTTAAGCAGAGTGTTACTTACTTTATAAAATGCACAAACCAAAAACTCTCCCCAGTACTCCAGCCAAACGCACTGGCACGCGGGGATTCTGAGTCACAGCGACAGCAGAGGGCAGGGCAGCAGGCCCCTGTGGGTTTCGGAGGCTGTTAATCTTCACAGGAGCAGAAAGCCTCACCTTGCTCCCAAGGAGCGGCTAGTGGATTCAAACTGCTGATTTGCAGTTAATAGCCAATGTGTACAGCCCACTATGTCACCAGGGCCCCTTCCTTACCAACAGAACCTTATGAAAGGGAAGGTTAAGAAGGTGCTACTCCTTCCTACAAAATTGTAGTATGTTCGGGTAAGCAAAGCAAAAGAATGCAGATAAAGAATCAACACTAGTTAGGGAACTCTGTTGAAAAGATGCTGTGCCTAAGTCATTATTTAGGATATTATAACAAAATCATATGGGGATAGATGAAGAACCTCAAAAAGGGACCATACCTTGTCATGTCCTGAATCTCCTCCCTTGACAATGTCTGGCGCCATGTATTCAATAGTTCCACAAAAGGAGTATGCTCTTTCAGCCTTAAACAAACAAACAACAAATGATTTTATTCAAGCTAGTACAGGTGACAAAAGAAGAAAGACAGTAATACAAACCACAGTTTGGGATACACAAAGTGCTGCTACCTTCAGGCTACCGAGAGACCCTCTCTTCTCCAGGACAGACCTGACCCAGAGTCGGAATGTTGGCTAAACGTTCATTTAGGAAGACTTCTCTCTGCTGCTTGAACACCCTGTATCCACCCACCCCCAACCACCATCTTTCCTCCCTATGCATATTTTGGTTTATATATGTCAAGTAACGGTTTAACCATTCTTTATCAGTGCGAATAGCCCTAGTAGAGGCCTATGGCCACTGTAAGATTTCAGCACAAATTGTTTTGGTTCCAGATGGGACGACTGGGGAATCGCGGGGGATCTTAAATGGAGAAGGAGGCCTGACAGTGAAGGACAGTGAACAGGGAAACCCACAGTGGAAAATGCACGGACGTTTGCTTCTAGCCGATTTCTTGCCTCTGTTTGGCCAGGCCAATGGTATGCTTCCTCATGACTAGCACAACAGTCTGGGAAAAACAACAACAACAAATGTCTCTTAAAGACAGTTGTTTCTCTTTTGCAGAACTTAAACAATAATAATAATCAAAAGGTCAGAAAGGCAAAGGAAGCTCTTGTTACTGCTGGGTGTCGTCGCGTCCGTTCTGACCCTCAGGGCCCACACCCACAACAGACCGAAACACCCTAGATAGAAACCCCTAAAGCGTACTCGTTTTTAAATGACCACGTTTGTCATGCCATGCAACACAACACACTAACGAGACTAAGTATCTAAAGTTGTTGCAGAGATATACTAAATATGGAAAAATTAATTATTTAATAATACATTTAGTGGCTATGCCTAAGACTTATAAAAGTATTTTAATATCATCAAATTATTTCACAAAACTATTTTAGAGGAACATTTCTGATGAATATCGTCGTCGTCTTCTACTGGCAGTTTCAAGAGAAATTAGCATTTCATTCACTGATAAAGTTTTAACTATGAAGAATGCTGCTGTAGCAATATTCTAGAAGTGGTAGAAGTTCTCTGCTGGAACTGTCTCCACATAGACCATTTACGCTTACATCCGTCGGACGTTTTCTTTACTGTTAGCTGTCAGAGTAATGTTAATAAAGAGCTAATAGAAATTAGATATCAAATGCCCCTATCCTTTTGTGTCATTTCTGTCACCATGTGCCAATTGTGTGGCACACTACTGAAAGGTTAATTCAAGATAAAATCATTAACACAAGTTTATGTGTTAATGCAAAAAAGCAATGAATACTGTTATAACATTTTGTTGGAATGCTGAGGCAAAATTAAAAAGTGTTACACACCAATCACCTATTTATTAAGTTACCAAAAATGAAATTTAAAAAAACCCCAAGTGTCCTAAAACTAAATAGTGTTTTGCTTTCTTTTTAAAATCATTTTA